CTACCCATCTGTAGTGATGCTAGAACTTCGGCTAACTAGCTTACTAACTAACTAGCTAATCTTTTTTCTTGGAGGATTGGTTCATGTTTTATTCGTCAAAGATATTTTTCGCCTTTTCAGTGGCGAACTTTTTGTGGCCAGTAAAATGTACCACCTTATCTGCTCATTGTTAAATTTTCGCATGCACACGGTTCTTTATAGCAATGAAATACGTTTTTAAAGCATTTATTGTCTTACTGCATTTGACCTTCATCTGCCTTCTTTTTTAATTCACTGTTATTGAATTTTCTTTTCTTTTCCCTCACAGTAGCTGACTTTTAACTTCACTTTTCTGATTATTTAACTTCTGTTTTCTCACTACAGTTGAGATTCTGCCGTCTTTCTCTGACTGCTTTTAGAATTTAACGCTCTTTTTTCCGCATTACAGTTGACAAATGAACACTTTTTATTACTTCGATTGACTTTTATTGATGAGTATAGTTTCAGTCTTGATAACGTCTACTTTGGCATTTCGTTTTTTGATCTCATATTTGTAAGGCTTCTTGCATTATATGATGTTGGTGTTTCAAAATAGTTGCACTAATCGATTGTTCAAGAGTTTTCCTGCTTCCTTTTTATGTTTAAAATGAAAAGATTTACACCCAAACAACTGCAATTGTGACATTCTGAAATACTGAATCGTGTGAACTGTATTTTACACACACCCACACATCCACACACCCACATACCCACACATCCACACACCCACTTACCCACACACACACACTCCCACGCACATGCAAGCGCGCACGCACGCACGCTCACGCTCACACACATCACACACACACACACACACACCACACACACATATATATTCAAATCCACAATATTGCTGCAACAACGAAAGTGATTTTCCGCTGGTTTATTTCAACAGTTGTCATAACGTCTTCAACTTGCCAAGTTGTCCTCCCAGGCTAAGAGACTCATCAGTTTTGGCTATTTTTAGCAGTTTTACCACACGACATTGGTCCACATGCATAAGCAGTGGTTCTGCCAGTTGCTGCCCGCCATGTTAAGCCAACACGTGGATTTATACCTCGCATTCAAAACTGCAATGTAATTTTCCCCCTCCTGCATTCTAGGCTACAAAAGGGATGTAAGTAGATGATGGACTTGACTTGAAGGCTCTCAGTTATCTAACAGGACCAGGGGCGCCTTCACAAGAAATATTTGGAGGTTGGGGTGGGGAAGGGGGGGGGGTGGGTGGCCTAAGCCTGGATTAAATTATGAAATCGGTAATAATAAACAACTATGATGACGATGATGATGATGACGATAATGATTGTATGTGTTGAATGATAAAAAATATAGTAATATATTTTAAATAAGATTATACCTATAGAAAGCAAATATTGAACGTCTATGAATGGTGGGGGGGGGGGGGGGGTGTAGTTCCGCAGCTTAGCCCATAAATACATTTTTGAGGGGGGGGGGGGCACAGTTACCTATGCCCCCAGAATCCGGCGGCCCTGTCCAAAGGTGATTTTTCTTTCAAATGCTAGGCAAAAAGTAGAGACGTCAGCAGGTGATGGGCAGGTGGTCATTTACCGATATGAATATTTTTCAGAGTGTATAATATATGGACATGCTATGAGCAGGAATGAACATTAAAACTTTGTGACAAATGGCCAGCTGCATGGGAAAGAACAGGGGGAAACAAAGAGATAATTACAATAGTGGCATGGGCGTGTAAAAAAAACAGACCTGATTCGTGATTCAAGTGATCTCCGACACGGCGAAACACGACTGTCTTCACCTATCAGCCAGCATGACACATGATGATGATGATAATACATATTTCGTGAAACACCTCAGGGTAAAACTGTAAACTCCAAATATCCATCATCATGTACCATTTTGTGAAGAATCACCAGAATCACGGATCCAGACAGTGCTCTTGTCCCTCCCATACAGATTATTATCAATATTATTAGTACTTCGCACTGAAAATCCTTAACCCCCCCCCCCCCCCCCCCCCCCCCCCGCTTCCCCATAGAAAAGTATGAGGACTAGATGGAATCTAGTCCAGCATCATTGGTATCTCTCATCAACATTCGTTTCATGGTTTCTCTTGAATTTCTTCATTGCTTCAGTCCATTACAGTCTCATGGCAAAGCCTGTCTGGTGATTCTCTGTTCACTTTGTGTCAAGATGTGCCAAACACAGCGCCGTACTGTCTAGTTTATTAACTCTTCGTGCTAGTAGTTTTCCGGATATTTCTCTTATTTCCCTTCACCTTTCTTGATTCATCCCATTCGAGCTATGCTTGGTTGATATTAATTCCTGTAAATTACTGTGTCAGAGTCTGTGGCTTAGGCGTTGCGAACGCGCTTCGTAATGCTGGGGTGCCGGGTTCGATCCCAGCTGAGGACGATATGTCTTGAGCTGGTTTCGACAGTGATACTGAGAGCTGACCTTTCAGAAGCAATGGCAAACTACTGAAGGTAAAATTTGCGTAGAAAAACCACAACAGCCCAAAAATGCTGGAGTTGGTTCTGCAACGTCCTGTAAAGGATTTGCAACTAACTTTATTAATTAATTTATTGTGGTTTTTTTTTTTTTTAGGTCGCTTTAGTGCAGTGGTTTAAGACATGACTCCACATCGAGCAGATTATTTATCATTGATATTGGTTGCTAGGTCGACCTGGCTTAAAAGTGTGTACCACGAAGTGTCATAAGATGTAAACACGGCCGGTGCGATGTTAGCCACATCAACCATCAACTGGTCTAAAACAAGACTAAATCCAGCGTAGTATTCCCAATGCGCCAATGGCATGACATGGATTCTTTACCTACTTTTGTGTATGGGCAGGCGGGACATGAATGATACAGGTATTGAGGTAGATTCGTGGACACAAAATACCATGGACCGTCATGCGTGGAGTGGGCAAGTCAGGAAGTAAATGAGAATGAAAGGTAAAATGATTGCAGAAAGGGTGAGGGCTGAGGGCTGGAGAAGAAACACGCTAAATACATATAATGTCAACAACGGTCCTAAAATCCCATGCTGTAATTGAGGAAGACTCTTTTTACGTTAGCGAATCTTGCTAGTCACACTCGCCATCGCCATGGGCTATGAGCCCCACACCTCTCCAAAGCACAATATAACACTATCTTCTGGAAAGGCGGAAAAATTCAAACGTTTAAAACATACATACTTCTTCAAATGCATGGAATGTCCCCCAAAGATTTATGTGTATTACTTTCCACAGGTATCCCGTTCAATCTAGACAGCAGCTTGTCCCGGGAGTTTCAAACACTCCCCAATGTTTCGGTATGTCCAGAAGGACCCGCCAGCAGAAGATTAGGGTGCCGCTCATCTACAACATCAGGACTGGACAGTCGCTTCCCTTTCCCAAGTTTTTGTACTCTGCAGCGCCAAGCGTCATTGCTAGAGCTGAACAGTAAGTGTGGTCATCACTGTTGTTGTTGTTGCTGTTGCTGTTGTTGTTGTTGTTGTTGTTGTTGTTGTTCTTCTTCTTCTTCTTCTTCTTCTTCTTCTTCTTCTTCTTCTTCTTCTTCTTCTTCTTCTTCTTCTTCTTCTTCCTTTTCTTCTTCTTCTGCTTCTTCTCTTGCTGCTGCTTCTCCCCTTCTTCCTCACCCTCCTCCTACCCTTTTTCCTTTTCTTCTTCTCTTCATCTTCTTCATCCTCCTCCTATCCCCCTCATCTTTGTTGTTGTTGTTGTTGTTGTTGTTGTTGTTGTTGTTGTTGCTGTTCTTCTTCTTCTTCTTCTTCTTCTTCTTCTTCTTCTTCTTCTTCTTCTTCTTCTTCTTCTTCTTCTTCTTCTTCTTCTTCTTCTCCTCCTCCTCCCCCTTCTCTTATTCTTCCTAATTATCCTCCTCCCCTCCTTTTCCTTCTTCTTCTCTTCCTCTTCATCGCCCTCTTCCTCCTCCCTCTCCTCATCCTCCTCCTCCTCCTCCTTCTTCTTCTTCTTCTTCTTCTTCTTCTTCTTCTTCTTCTTCTTCTTCTTCTTCTTCTTCTTCTTCTTCTTCTTCTTCTTCTTCTTCTCCCTCTTCTTCTTCTTCTTCTTCTTCTTCTTCTTCTTCTTCTTCTTCTGCTTCTTCACTTCCTCTCAATCTTTTTTTCCCTAGTGCCTATGGGGTTGTTAACGATATCTATAATACCTTTTTGTCTCTTCCACGGTCAGTAATTTATGATACAGATGTTCCTGTATGCTATGATACTAAAATGTCTAGCATCTCTCTTGATCTCCTTCTGCCTCTCTGCCCTTCGCCTTTCCTATTGTCACGATGTACTCTAGTTATCCTTTTCCTCATAACTTGATCAACACTTGTAGCTTGCCTCGTTATGATACAGGCAATCAGCTCCCTTTCTGTGTCACTTTCTTTGAAAACATCTTGATTGCACTTTCAATCTATTCAGGGTGTTCCCTAATTCCTGTTAAAAACCCCATCTCTGTAATTTCGACATACTTTTTCTCGAAAATCCGCTATCCATGGATCCCTCTTGTAAATCAGGATTAGTTCTTGGGTTTTTACACCAGCAGGCTCTAGAAACTAGAAATCCTAATCTGCACAGTTCACTGCAACAGTACTAGCCTTGAGGTCTTAAATCCTTAGGCACAAGATTTCTTCCGCGCCTTATATTCCTGCCCCAGACTATCCTAAACAGTGGCAAATACTAGCAGTTAGGACACTTAATCTTCTATTTACTGTCATTAAGTGTACCTTAGTACATAAACGTATTGGCTTACTGTGAGCTCACATTTGTTGGAATGTTCCTAGTGCAATTATTTCAAATTATTCCTTCATTAAAGTATTCATTCATACATTCATTTAATCATCCATTCATTCTTTCATTCTTTCAGTCTTTTGTTCATTCTTTCGTTTCTTTATTCATTCATTTACTCTGTCATTCATTAATTTATTCCTTCATTCACTCATTCATTCAATGTTTAAAACGTAATGGCGACGCTTTTTTTTGTCCTCTCCAATACCAGTGACGGATGGGAAGTCAGACTAACGACTAGCTACGTACCCCGGTACATGTACGAGAGAGTGCCCATCTGTTGTCCTGGGGAGAGGAACTGTGATCATGGTCAGTCAGTTCATATTTCTTGTAGTATTATAATTATGATCTATTTCAATTACCACGTCGGTGGCTATGTGCTGCGAACATGCTTCACATGGACAATTTGGCAGCAGACCGCCTTGCTTTCATTTGGACAGTGTTATCGAGATCCTACCGTTGAGTAAGTAATGGCAAATTGGTGAACGTAAAAATGCCTTTAAAAAATTACAGACAGCCGAAAGAACATGGGGTTGTTACTGCAACACCATGTGAAGGATACGCGAATAGCTTTTTAAATTTGTACTGGCATCATCTAAGACAAATGTTACGAATACCTTAGACGGCCAGAGTAACTAACAACGATTGCTTAAAAAAAAGTAATGAAAGTAGATCTCTATATACAACAGTAAGAAAGAGACAAACACTGTTCATTGACCACAGAATTAGAAGAGAGACATTGGAGAACATCGTGACATCAGGAAAAATCATTAGGAAAAGGGGTAGAGGCAGACCAAGAGAGATAATGCTGGGTGGGCTGAAACGATGGCATGAAGGGTTATCATCAAGAGAGCTGTTCCAGGCAACCAGATATCGTGATCTGTGGAGTCGCATGAGCGCCTACGCCAGTTGGTAGGGCACATGATGATGACGATGATCATGAGAGTTAAAGACTACAGTGGTTGTGACATAGACAGAAAATTACAGATAATAGACAGACGAAAACTGCATACAAAAAAGAGTTAAAATGCCACGATAGAGAATAAGAGAACGGTGGGGAGATGTACACGCAGACCTACAAACGCATGGAGTCACATACTGGATACAGAAAGCGAGTCCTCGTGATGCATCGAGCCAGGTGATGTCTACAGCAATGAATCCCAAGTCTTCAGAATCTTGAACAAGGCCATTATCATTATTTAGAGCCCCTGTGTGGATTCGGGGGCCTTATTACAGGGGAAACAAGAATAGACCCACCAAAGACGCCTACCCAAAGCATGTCGTACAAGTCGACAAATTGGGAAGTTCCTTCAAAATCGAAGTACATCTGCCTGAGAGTCAAGTAACCCGCAGTCTGCATACAAAGGAGAAAAATCTGTAAAACGGATGCACACGTAACATTCAGGCTCTGGAACAGGACTGCATTTCAAAAATGGATGAACAGACTTTCCGCCAGAGTTTACAGCCGGTGGACATGAAGAAGAAGAAGATTATTTAGATAATGGCAATAAGATATAATAACATATTTGAAATATATAAACACATTCTTTTTGAACTAAATAAAGGGGGCGGGGGGGGGGGAGGAAGATAAGGGGGAAAGGGTTTGTCAGGGAATTTTATAAACCTTTTTTTTTTCCTTACTAAAGGGAGACAGATCATAACCTCTCCAGCCGGAGAAAACCCTGCCACGTGTGCCAATGGCGGGCAAATGATATACCGTGATGGTCAGCAGGTAGGTAATCAGATACTTGTTTGAATTTCATCTTTAAATGTATTTTACTTAGAGGAGAAATGTCCCGAAGGCAAACGGCCAAACAACTTTTCACCAAAGACCCCAAGATACAAGGTTAAACATAGAGTACCTGATCACCAAGGTGCGGTAGGTCGTGTGGCTAAAGAACCTTGAGCCCGAGGATTTATGGATACACGACAAATACAGTCGTCGCGACCACTGCAGGTTAGGATTGTGTCTGTGTATGTGGGGATTGGGTCCAAAGAAAGAAACGCCACCCTCCCCACCCCTATCGCAATCGAGGATTCGAACAAGTCCTTCCTCGATAAGGACTTCTAGAGTGCTAGAAAACGAGTAGTGAAGTGCTGTATGTAACCTGTCTAGTCGAATGCATTGGAAAGCAGTGACAGATTGGGAGAAACAATCCAATAACTGCGGAAAGGTGGTTTCTAAAAAGAGTGCTAATAATATGATGGACTGACGGAGAAATAGACGTGCTTTTCTCCAAGAGACAGATCAGATAATCAGGTAATCGTAATTTCAGCTTGATCATTTCTGTGCCAATGAAAACCACAAAGTAAGCCATTGTTCCTTGTGAAAAATTGACACTAAAGCCAATACCATACACCCTTATTACTAAATGCATAAGGCAGCCATAACAAGTGCCAACACAAACAGTCCGGCACTAGAAATGCAGTTCGTCATTTATGTCGATGGAAGCAGCAGTTACAACAGACCAGTAGTTGCATACGTAATTAATTGCATATGACACCACCAGTTTCCAATCAACAGACCGCTCGCCACACTCTGAATTCGGCAGTTCACGACACAAACCACGTTGGACATATCTTAGAGGCAGATGAAAACCATTACCTGGTTAGAGAAATTAGACGTCGACATAAAAGATAAAGGTGAAGTCGGAAGATGTGAACCAGAGTCATTGCACACGGTTATAAACCATAAGTGTTCTGTCACCAGTACGGACAGCTGATAAGAAACTGTCCGCCTGTGTCGACGTCTGCACCCAACTCTGCAGCTACAGTAACGTTCCTCCATTTACCCGAGAGTGTTAACTCTGTGTGTCCAAATGGAAACTAGGCACTGCCACTGTTTTGAGCCGGGGCAAACATTTTTGCTTCTGCCAGACTGTGGCCGTTGCTTTTTTGCTCCATTTGTAGACTGGAAGTATATAGTTTCGTTGCCCAGCCTCTGAGTTGAGTGCATGGCGTGACACTGTGAGCTGCGGATTTCATTTGGAATGTTTTTCGACTGACCAACGTGGTGGTGTGATTTGTAGATTCAGAAAATGGCGCAATGCCGGTTGTCACAATATTGGTGGGGCCATTATTTGATTAAAATTGATCGCGTGTGCTACTGCTGATCTTTTAATGACTTCTGCTACCATCAATAATTAACTGCATTTCTAACGTTGGACTGTTTCTGTTAGCACTTCGGATGGCTACCATATGCTTTTAATGCGAGTGTATGCTAGATTTGCTGAGACAGCAGTTTGTCAGTCTTTCCACAAGGGACTGTGATAAACATTCTGTGTGTTTTTCGTTGGCACAGGAGCGGAGCAAGGATGGGGTGACCCGTTTGCCATGAAGCTGAAATTAAAAATTACCAAATTACCAGATTACCAGAACTCTGTTACCCATTACCTAGAGGTTGGGTGAACCCCGGGAACCATCCGGTTTCGAGACGCAGTCATGGTTTCATCAATATTTTATAAGGATCGTCTTCATTTCCCCGGTTTCTATTCCACATAACTCGATTTCTCTCTTTACAGCGGATGACAACATGTTAACAGAGCCGCACAATACACTAAATCTGTCGCTCGAGAGGCGATTCCACAGAACCGAATGTCGCTTTCGGAAATCGAACTCAAAGCCTTCTGAAGACAAGGTCAATGACCAGACCACTTCGTTAAGGAATATAAGATATCCAAAGAAAACCCAGTGGCTTAGAGGCTAGTGAACTGGTTTCGCAAATTAAATTATCGATGTACCAGGATTCGATTCCTGATTCATGTAGTTTAGAAATAGACTGTTCTTGTGGCTTTTCAGATAGTGAAACGAAAGTCGCACCTGGAAAAAGACAGGGACCTCAGCACGTAGTATTTTAAAATTGCCGAAGACAGTAGTGGGTGCCCTGCAGCCAAACTTCGTTCTGGCTACACCACCTGCGCGCGCGCGCGCACACACACACACACTCACACACACACACACACACACACACACACGAAATAGAAAAACTATACAATAAAACATCTCTGCATGAAGTTTTTTGTTTTTGTTTTTTGAATGAGACTTTACTAGAAACACTCTATTTTTTAGAGATGCGAATGTGCGCCTGGATACCAAGGCATCTGGTGCAACTTCCGTGCATTGCCAGGTGACAGTCAATCCCAGAGTGGCTTCCCTTCCGGTCCCCTCATCCGTGTGTTATCTGCTCCTGCCCCTTACAAGAACATGGTTAAAGAGGCGGATATGTGGAGGTCAAAGGTAAAGGTCTTATAAGTTCAAATTTATGGTCTCTATCATCTTCATCATGTTCCATGGTAATAGGTGTACATTTGTTGTTTTTTTTAAACTGGCTTGCATCCTAAAAGATTAACACCCAGCGACTCAAAGATTAGCTAGTTATTCAGGTGAGAATCCAAAAGGAACAAATCCAAGAAATCTTGTTGAACTGCATTATCATTAGTCAGCAAATTCTTTGCAGAACGTCGCTCTCTTCACGGCCTGTAAGTATCCATTTCCCTAGCCAGCTCTCCAGCCCCCTGTGCTTTCATTGTCAATACATCTTCAATATACAGTTTCCATTTTCGTAGAGGTCGACCCCTGCCTCGCTTTCCACAGACTGCGCCCTCATTATCGTCTTTTCCAAGCCACCGTGACGTTTGATGTGACCAGAATACTTTAACTTTCGGGACAGGACGCTGTTTATGAGCCAGTTCTCCTTGAAGTTTAACTCGTGTAGAAAGTTGAACTGTATAATATAATTATGTCAGGGCATCCTGCGATTAGAAAGCAGCCCATCATCCGTTTTCATGGAGTATAATGTATGTTAGAGTACACGACCAAAGCTCGAAACCTTACACCATGGCTCAACATCTTCGACCATGGTTCAAAATTTTCGACCATGGTTCAGAATCTTCGACCATGGTTCAAAATCTTCGACCATGGTTTAAAATCTTCGACCAGGGTTCAAAATATTCGACCATGGTTCAAAATCTTCGACCATAGTTCAAAATCTTCGACCATGGTTCAAAATCTTCGACCATGGTTCAGAATCTTTGACCATGGTTCAAAATCTTCGACCATGGTTCAAAATCTTCGACCATGGTTCAGAATCTTCGACCATGGTTCAGAATCTTCGACCATGGTTCAAAATCTTCCATTACAACAATATCCGTAGACTGATTAACAGTCTCACGTAACAAACTGACTCTCAGATCAAATATTTAATTTTTCTGATTACAGTATTTTGCAAAGCCAACCAGAGTAAGCATCTATTTGGTATTCTGTCAAGTGTCTACTATATTATACCCCCCCCCCCTTTTTCCACACACACACACACACACACACACACACACACACAGACACACACAGACACACACACACACACATATCACTTCTCCGTCTCGCCCGTAACAAATTTGTAAACTCTCAAATATGACGCAGAAGTTACCGTCCTTTGAGATTTATGTTGAATCAAAACCAGTTATTAAAACGACTTTCCCCGCAATATATGATTGCCTCAGAAGCAAACATTGCAGACTTTATCAAGTTGAATTAAAGAAAACTGAGTTTATTTTAGAACCGATATCATAGTACTGTGAACATTCCCCATCTTCAGTGGTCGGAGCAGAGTTCAAATTCTTATGGTACCAGATTTAGACACCGCCCCCCCCCCTACCTTTTTTTAAATAAAAAAATATAAAGAACTGTATTTTAAAATGAGAGATTTTATATTTTTAAACAAAAATCTCTCATTTTAAAATACCACTCTTTAAAAAGAAAAAAAAATGAGAGATTTTTTTGTTCTAATTAAACATCAGAACATGAGTACTGAAACGTTATATCGAGCCTGTTCCGTTGTATGGCAGCGAATCTTGCAATGTGAGCAATCATATTTAAAAAGTTTGGAGGCAATTGAGATGTTGGCCTTGAGAGAACGGCCTGTCAGAATAACTGACCTGGAAATGGCTAATGAAAGTAGAACACTATATACAACAATGAGAAGGAGACAAACAATGTTATTTGGTCCTGAGAAAAAAAGCAATGGAAAATATTGTGACAACGGGAAAGATCACTGATAGAAGAGGCAGAGGCAGACCAGAAGAAAAGATGGTGGATGGCTTAAGATAGTGGCATGGGAGAATATCTTAAATGGAATTGCCTCAGAACACGGAGATTTGTAGAAATGCATAAACGCATACGCCAGCTGGCAAGGATCTTGATGTTGATGTTGTTGATGATGATGATGATCATCATCATGATGATGATGATGAGAATACAGATTGTGAGGCCCTAAACAGTAGCTTATTTAGTAGATGCCTAATTGCAGCACTGAGTAGGAGTCTCATTGTTTGTCCGTCTTGCCTTTAAACTGAGTGTTGAGTGTCGGCCCCTAGTCACCTCTCGCTGCACCGTTCTCATCTGACCGTGATCTATTTGTGCTTCTGTACTTTTTCACTTGCACGTGGCGCTTACCAGGCAACAACGTCAAACATTACCATGGAAATAACCATTGCTTCCGGAGCACTAGCCTGATCAGCAGAACAAGCAGACATCCATGTAGTAATTGTGTCAGACTCAATGAACATGCTAAAGGAATTCGTAGCAGGTAGTATGCGCTCTTACTGCTTAGAAAGCATTCCAAAACCTCACTTAATCTCCCTCACTTTGATACACACACCTGATCATGCCTGTATAGAATGGTAGTGAGCCCGCCGATCAACCGGAGATCAAAGCACCAACACATGTATGAAGAAGCCTGGAAAGTGCATCTATCATCAAAGCTTTACGGACTGGGCTAGTGGATAATGACGAAGCTCTGTCACTGACATGGTTTTGTGACCTAAAAGTAAAGCACGATGAAGCACGTCTATGTTGAATTCAAGACCGAGATATGAGACACAAAACTAACTCCACTTGGGAAGAGTCAGCAAAGGTACATTGGAGTGGCTGATGCATCTGACGACTGCGCCCGCATGGGAATGCCCAGTAGGCAGTGACATCGATTGTGATAACATAATTTACCACCAAGTTTTGCTGGATCCGCGAATGTCTGCCTGTACGTTTTCCAACACTCATACATACTCTGGATAACGTATTCAAAGGATATAAACAAATCTCAGCAAATGAAAAGAAGAGCATAATATTCGTCTTTTTTTTAATCGACATGAACCCATTTGTTTCAATTCTATTCAGATTAGTCCAAATATGTGTATATCTTACTGTCTGTTGATAAAATCTATCGATCCAAACAGGCAAGACAGTTCCCAGCCTCACCCATGTTGCCAGTCAGGGAACATCCTGCAGGAGCTGCCTCTCCCTGGGGTAAGTTTAGAAAACAATGAAAGTTACTAGGAGAAAAAAAAACAAAAACTTGTCAGGTGAAAAGAAGAAAATAAACTAAACAAAACAATCGGCGTGACTTCTTCTGAAAAATAATGAGAACAATATATAAACTGTCATTGTTGTTCCACTAGTGTATTCCCTGACACTATGTTTGTGTTTGTGAAAAAAAGGATAGGGTGGAAAGTGGGAAAAAAAAAAAGGGGGGGGGGGTAGGTCCGCTGCCCTTTACAAGCCACTGCAACCCCTCCCCCTCCCTCTCCCTTTTCCCCCCATTTTGTCCTCGGCGTGACCGCACTAAAATGGCAGGTGACCAGTACGTTCACAATGGTGTGTACTTTTGCAAGTGCAATATCGGCTTTAGTAATTGACCGTTGGCGCCAGCAGTGATCTG